GCATATGAAAATATAATAGCGGTGGAAGTTCAATCAACTACTTACCCCCGACTTGTGTACCCTCATCAATACGGCGTACCCCCCGTATAGAGGTACCCTGGGTACAGAATTGAGCAATGAAAATACCCGGGGTACACGTGTCCGACTTTTACGGTACTCCAAAAAATTTTTAAATTTTCATAATAAATTTTCAGCTTCAGCCACCACAATTATTAACTAAATGAAACAATACGATTAAAAAACGACATATAATATGGATTTTTTTAGTAGAGAAAACCCAAAACTATGATTTTGAGATAACCAAGTTTATTATGTTCGAACTTATCGTTTCGGGTAATCTTGTACGTACTTACGTACGTACGAGTCTCCCAAAAAGTTTTTATGCTAATAGTGTTAGAGCATATTATAAACTATATAAAGTAGAAATGGAGAATTAAATTTCATCAAATTTCACAAATTTAACACTAATTTCACCAATAGTGGTTACCACTCTGATTTAACTTCACCAAACATCTTTAGTAGGAATTAAATTTATCTATATTCTAACATGAAACCCTAATCTTACTTTTCGTCAAATTCTAAATTAGTTTCAAAATTAATAGAAAAATGTAATTCATTTAATCATCAACTGAATTAAATAGAATTTTAATATTAGATTAATTGATATTATATGATGGACTCTCCAAATGCACATTTTGTATCTAATGAAAAGGATGCATTAGAGAGGGCTTCTATAATTAATTCTTCATTAATGAAGGTATAAATACTAATATGTTAATTCTTTCATTTCTCAAAAATCCTTGTAATTAATTACCAATTCGACACAATATTTTTTATCCTCGGATTCCCAGCTTTCATCATTGCCATTCTTGCTCGAATAATCCTACCAGAAAAAGAGCTACGAACCCTACAGCATCCTTCTGATCCAATAACAAAATAATTTGATAAAACTAAGATTAATTTATCCATAATTCCTTGTACGCCTGGTCCTTCAAATTCTTTTTGGATTATTTTACTTAATTCCGGAAGTTCTTCAAGATATTCTAAAGAATTTGTAGATTTCCAAGTATTCAAGTGCATTGAGGAATTCAAAATTTTCACAGCATCGTGGTGTTCTTTCTTTACTACTCGGAATGTGGAAGATTGGGCTTTTCCCATACCATTTATTGGATAATCTGTAGCGAAATAAACATTAGATATGTTGGCGGTCTTTTTTGTTTGATTAACCCATTTCACAAGTTTATTTGCGCATTTAGTCAATGGCTTTGTTACTCCTGTTTCCATACGCCAGTGAATTCCTATATAAGAACCTAGCTCGTTTGCCACTTTATAAGCAGCTTTGATAAGATGATTTGCATATGGTACTGGTGAAACCTCTTTTCCATCCAGAAATAAATTAGATCGAAGATCATGATTTATCAATAACACATCTGTACTTAGATTTAATTGTGAAGTCAAATATTTTAACATAATAGAATTTTTTTGTTTAGTTCTCCATAAACTCGTTGGTCCAATATTGACATGTTTGAAACTCACATTATCATTCATGTTTAATTGAAATTGATTGAGACAATGTTCATTTAATAATGTTTCCACAAAAGGTTCTACAAATGCAAAGGTATTTGGCTGATTCATTTTGTCAGTATTAATGTATGCATGAAACACATCCGGTTTTTTGTGACGCTCAAGAGTCCATTGTTGAAAATCTGCTTGAGATATGAATTTCATATTTGGAAATTTTTCCTGTAACATACCCATGTTATAGTAAAAATTATAAGGAAATTGATTACAAGAATTTATTCTAGATAGTCCAACATTTGTTAAAACCATCGTACGATTAAGTTTTTCGGCGAGCTCAGTCATTGTCTGTAAATGAAAATTTGCACGAGTTTCTTGTTCTGGAATTCGATATGAGAATAAGAATTTACAAGTATCTGATCCACAATATTTTTGGTTGATTTTTGTGTCATCAATGTCATTTGAATAATCTTTATTTAAATCGTTGGATATACTATTAATTATTTTGTCATTGTTTATCATGGCAAAGAAGTCATAAAGTGTTTTCGGATCAACTACTCCTTCTTTTATAATTGGTCGCTTCGCATACTTGATGGTTATATTCTAAAAATTAAATTAATAATGACCCTAAGTGACATCCCGTGCACATTAAACTCAAAATTCATAGACAATTTAACTAACTCACGCTATATTCATTGTTCAAATCGAGAAAATTTTCGACATTATCACGACTCCAAAAATTTAATATAGTGAAAACGAAAATGATGATGACAAATACAAGGAGAAAGGTTAATTTAATACTTTTTTTCCACACATAATTCATACAATGTATTATAGAACGGGTGAAATAATTAGATGAAAGGTTCATCTTTTTTTAAAAATAAGAGTTTCGATTCGATTGGAAGTGGGAATTTTTAAAATGGTTGCTAAATAAACAAACCAAATTAAAATTTCCTTTTTTTACGTTTGTTTGCTTAAAATGATTTTTTGCTAAACATTAAATCGTTTTTTTCTAGCAGCTGTGAAACGATGTCCAGCATTTTATTGTTGTCAAGTTCTGGAAATTCTTCTTATCATGTGATAACGGTTTGCATGCATGTGGCAAAATACGAATCATGTAAAATTATGTGCGCTATATCATTTAAATTAGGGATGTTAGTAATAATAATCCTCCCGTGATCTTGACATAGTTATCGGGGGATTATCTTGCTTAAATCGGCTTTGAAAAACCCGTTCGAACACTGTTTGGAAACATATACGTAAACTGGGTTTCAAAATCTGCTTTAAACTATTTATATGCATGTACAGTCGAAGCTTGACATAACGAATCTCTAAATCTAAGGGTTACAATTCGGTATAAAAAAAATATTCGCAAATATGTGTAATGAATTTTAAAATTTATTCGTTATATAACTATAGCGAATATTAGATTCAATTCGGTATTAAAAAATATAATAAAAAATATTTATTAGTGAGTATTAATGATAGTCTTTCAAAACCTGCATTCCTTCCCGAGATAATACAAACTTCAATTGATATACCATGATTTATCTTTATGTCAGTGATTACTATCAATATGAAACTAGAAAAGACATTCCTAGAATGGATCCGGCATTTACATATTTATCGTAGACCTAATTGTATGTAACTTTAAAAAATTATTTGTACTTGGTGTCCACGCTAATTTGTAAACCTTTAGGTCTATTGTTGCCAATTTGAAGAGATGATCATATATAACTCATTGTTGTTGATCAAACAATCTACAGCAGAAACATGTTCTTAATTTGTTAATATGTTAATATGTTCAAAAAAAGATCCGGAAATACGTAATTGCCCACACCATACATTTTCTTCCACCGTGTGATAATATTTCTGTCCATCATCATCATCATGAAATAATAAGGTCACACCTTTTTCAGATCGCCATAATTCTTGTCAGTGAAGTGATTCATAGAATTCTATGATCGCACTAATTCAAAAATAGTGATAATTGTTATTGCGAAAATCGTAAATATTTATTATATATTTATAAAAATATAAAATGCATTAAAAATTACCGACTCATCAATTATTATAGCAATTTGTTTATTACGTTAAAAATTATCAATTGCTTATTATTATACTTTCCTAATATCATTGTCGTAATGAAACTAAAATTTTTTTGCTTTATTTTGGTTCTTATTCTCAATGTTTACTTGACAACTGCTTTGTCTATTGACTCCTCGCTTATGAAGTTAATGAAAAGAGTCGAGTAATTATACTAATTTTTGCTTTATAATAGTTCGTTGCATTACGTATTCTTAAAATTATTATTAATAATCTTTAAATCATAATAGTGAATTACCGAAGTTTGATAAAAAAGAGTAATTACATTATGGCAATTTGCAAAAAGGTGTGACCCTGTGATTTCGTGAAAAAATTTCTGAGATTTTAAATTCCCCATTGATCATATTTTTCAATCTGCAACGTCTATATTTATTCGAATTCTCTTTGATTCTCTATGAACCAAAAAATCTACTAGAATCGCCTGATTTTGCATGTCACAATGATCTGCAGAGGTCACATACATTTTTGCAAACTACCATAATTATAACAATTTATTTGTTGTATTTTTTTAGAATGATTAATACAGTCTTTATATTATAATTTATTAAAATACTACTATGCATTCTGTTAAATTAGCAATTGGTAAGTATAAACTTAATGACAATTATTTTAGAATTATTAATAACATTCGTTATATTATAATTTATTAAATTACAACTATGCATTCTTATCTAATAATATATTTCTGCTAAATTAGTAATACGTAAGTATAAACTTAATAACAATTATTTGTAGAATTATTAATAACGATCTTTATATTATAATTTATTAAAATACAACTATGTATTCTTATCTAATGATATATTTTTGTTAAATTATTAGTTGGTAAGTATAAATTTAATGACAATTATTTTTAAGTTTTTAAGTTATTATTTAACAATTTATATATTTTTATTTCTAATAATATATATTTTAATAAATGTTCTTGTTAAATTATTAGCACGTAAGTACAAACTTAATTTTAATAATTTTAAAATTATTATTTGATAATTATTTTTAATAATATATATTAATAAATACTTTTATTAAATTATTAGCTTGTAAGTATAAGTTTTATTATGTTTATTTTAAAATTGCAGTTTAATAATTTGTGTATCTTCATTTTTAATAACAAATATCTTAATAAATGCTTTTTTAAATTATTAGTCCGTAAGTATAAGCTTAATTATAATAATTTATATATATATGGCTTTACTAAATCACACCAATAGTTTTTAGCTATAGTTACTATTAGTGCTCCGATCGGGTCGACCCGAACAACCCGTAACCAACCCGATAATAATAGATTTACTATATGGGTCATGACCCACATAATAGATTTATTATAACCGGGCTGGTTTCGGGTCAACCCGATCGGAGCACTAGTTACTATATTTCAAAAACATACTAGCTAACACACGTCAGGAATACAAACAAAAATATTCAGTGCCCAAAAAACTTCACTCTGATTAAATTTACTAGCAAACTATTAAGACATATATGTGGTGTTGAACATCATTGGTGTGATTTAGTGCTATTGTTTTATATTATTTTTTCTAATATATGTTATAATAAATGCTTTTAAATTATTAGCAAGTAAGTATAAGCTTAATTATAATTGTTTTTAAAATTATTATTTGTTAATTTATGTCTAATAATATATATTTTAATAAATGCTTTTATTAAATTATTAGTTGGTAAGTATAAGCTTAATTATAATTATATGTAAAATTACTAAATAATTTATGTATCTTTATTTCTAATAATATATATTTTAATAAATATTTTTGTTAATAAATATTTTTGTTAAATTATTAGCGAGTAAGCATAAGCTTAATTAGAATTGTTTTTAAAATTATTATTTGATAATTTATTTCTAATAATATACATTTTAACAAATGCATTTGTTAATCGTTAGACGGTAAGTATAAGCTTAATTATAATTATTTTTAAAATTGCTAAAAAATTTATGCATATTTATTTCTAATAATTTATATATTAATAAAAGCTTTTATTAAATTATTAGTTGGTAAGTATAAGCTTAATTATAATTAATTTTAAATTGCTAATAATTTATGCATCTTTAATAATATATATTTTAATAAATATTTTTGTTAAATTATTAGTCCGTAAGTATAAGCTTAATTATAATTGTTTTTAAAATTATTATTTGATAATTTATGTCTAATAATATATATTTTAACAAATGCATTTGTTAATTTATTAGTCCGTAAGTATAAGCTTAATTATAATTATTTTTAAAATTGCTAAATAATTTATGCATCTTTATTTCTAATAATATTTATTTTAATGAATATTTTTTTGTTAAATTATTAGTTCGTAAGTATAAACTTAATAATTGTTTTAAAATTATTATTTGATAATTTATGTCTAATAATATATATTTTAATAAATGCATTTGTTAAATTATTAGTTGGTAAGTATAAGCTTAATTGTAATTACAATATTTTTTAAAATTATTATTTAATAATTTGTATATCTTTATTTCTAACATTATATATTTTAATAAATAATGTTAAATTATTAGTTGGTAAATATAAGTTTAATTGTGATTATTTTTAAAATTATTTGTAATTTTTATATTACTAAATTTTTTATTAAATTATTAGTCCGTAGGTATAAGCTTAAGCATAATTTTTAAAATTGTTATTTAATAATTTATATATCTTTATTTCTAATAACATATATTTACTAAATATTTTTGTTAAATCATTAGTTTGTAAGTATAAGCTTAATTATAATTATTTTTAATAGTGTTATTTAATTTATGCGTCTTTATTTAATAATATATATTTTAATAAATATTTTTGGTAAATTATTAGATAGTAAATGTAAACTTAATTATAAAATATTATTATAAAATTATTATTTAATAATTATCCTAATAGTATATATTAAGAAATGCTTTAGCTGAAATTATACGGTAAACCAAATTCATAATTTGAAATAACTATATCGAAATTGTTATAAATATCAGTTATATAATTAATTATAGTATTTTTTTTTGACAAGTTAGAAGAATTTTATTTTTTTGTTTCTAAATATTTTTTTAAGAATTTTTATTTCAAATTTGATTTGTTTCAGTTATATTTTATTTATCTATATTTATTTATTAATTATATATGTTAAATTTTTAGTATATTTTTATATAATATTTTTTTATTAAGAATATATTAAATTTTTAGTATATTTTTATATAATATTTTTTATTAATAATATATTAAATTTTTAGTATATTTATATATATATTTTTTAAGAATTTCTATTTGTATCCAGTGGTTATATATCCATCACAACTGATCATGCAACAATAATATAACCCAAAAGCTTATATAGCATTGATGAGAAAAAAGGGTGGCTAGACGATTTGCTAGTTATATATGACATCATGCTTTAATAATAAATATTAGAACTTC